TTCCGTTGAATTTTCTTAAAAAAAGCTTAAATTTAAAAAACTGATTTGATTGATTAATTTTAAAAATTTTAGAAATTGATTCATTAGCTTTAAAAGATTGATTTAAACGTGAAGAAAAGTTAGGGCTTTGTTTATTTTTTACAACATTATAAATTTTTAATGAAAGTTTTTTTTGATTGTTCAAAGATCAATTAAGATCTAAATTTTAAAACATAAATAATATTCACTGCTGGATTACCTAAATAATATTAATATAAATAACATTCACTTTTGCTTATTGATGGAATAAAATTTCAAGTATTAAAAATAACCAAAAAATTATTTTAAAAATTTGAGGTAAGTTAAAGCAATTTCTTACTGACATACAATTTAAAGTTTTCTTTTTTAATGGAATTTTTACAAAATTATAACTTGCCTAAGCATCAAGCTGACATACGAAAATTATTTTAAAAAAATAAGAAGCAATCGACATTTTATCAATGGATAACTTACAAATATTTAGTTTTCAATAGAATTATTTACAAATTTCAACCTAACCTTACATTCACGCTGACATCGAAAACTTCTTATCTAAAGTAAAAACTAAATTCGTTTAGAAAGTGTAAAGAAAGATTTGTTAACATAAATGTTTTCAATGCGTAATTTACAGTCATCATTTTTCTTTTTTAATAGCTTTCTTATGAACTAAAACTCAATCTTTCGTGAAGTAAACTTATAAAAATTGCTTAAAGTTCTTAAGAAAAGTCAAACTACACTTTTTCAGTGCATGACTTAAAACCATTTTTTTTTCTGTTACAATAAATTTTTTATGGATTTAAACCGATCCTTACATACGCGCCTCTATCTAAGACTTTATAGTAAAAAGTTTGTTAAATTCTGGTAAGAAGTGCAAAGAAAGGTTTAGGAACAAATAGTTTTCAATGCGTAATTTACCGCCATTTTTTTTTTCTTTTTCAATCGATTTTTTAATGAATTAAAATTCAATTTATCGTCAAGTTAACATAAAAAAAATATTTATAGTTTTGGAAAATAATCAAACGACATTTTTTCAGTGCATAACTTTAAAACACTTTTTTTCATCTTAAATAATTTTTTTACGAATTTAAACCTAACCTTACCCTTACTCCATTTCATCAAACAAATAAAAGCGTATCACAAATTCCGCAAATCAGATATCACCATCAGTAAAACAGAAAGAAATCTTAATAATGATTTTCTCAATGTAAATCCAACCAACCCTGCTTTCATATGGCAGGCCAAAAACATTAATCATTTTTCACATAGACACTACAGTCTACGCTTAATGATGCCTACTTTCCTTAATAGAGACTTTCTTCTTTCTTTTCATTCTCATCTCCCTTGTCTTGGTCCTTTGCATCATTAATTTCGATGTCTTCTTGCACCCTAATTTTAGCTACAGGGCACATCCTATTCTTACCCTGACAGCACTTAGATTACATTTCCTTACCCGAGTAGGGTAGAAGGAGAATTGTAATAAATATGATCTTACTTTGAAATTCAAATTTAGAACCCGCATGGAAAGAAAAGAAATAGATGAGTTGGGGTTCCTTTTACGTAATATTTTGGGTAATTATTATTTCTTTTTCATATCTGAACTTTTGGAATAATTACTTGTGTGATTCACAGTATTATATAAATGGTTTTTAAAATTGAAATCACTAAAAGGTTTCGTGAAGCTTTTGCATGCTTAAAATACTTTTTTTTTACACCAGCAACAGTTAGCGATTGATTTCTTAAAATTAATAAAATAAATTTACTTTAAAATATAAAGTTTATCTTAAATACATGATCTTCAATAAAGTTACTTTCTTTTTTAACCATATATTCAATTATAGATTACATAAGATCTCAAAAGAATCATTAAGATTTTATATAATTTACATTGGAAATAAATATAAAAATTTTTTTTAAACCTGAAAATTTCATTTATTTTTACAGAAAATCAAAATCGAATATGTAATTTATATCTTTTGAAAAAGCAATTACAGAAACAATTTTTTTTTTAATTAAATTTTTCTTTTAAGAAAGTTTGTTTTTGAAGAAGTTTTATTTTTTTGTGATTAAACATACATTTGACTATTAGTTAAATAAAATCACAAAATAATTTTTGATTTGATATTTCTTAAAACTTTTAATCGAATTAGAATTAACGAGATTCTTTATAACTTATTTTTAAAGATATTTTTGAAAATTAAAATTAATTTTTTTATTTATTTTTTAAAGAATTGATCATAAATTCGATGATGGATTAGATAAAATTTTAAAATAATTTTAGTTTTTCTCAGTAACTAAAAATCCTGAGAATATGAAATATTGTTTTTAACAGCAAGATCTACACCATTTTTTGTCTTTAATTTCAAAAGTGTTCATTATTATTTCTAACAGTGGCACTTTATATAAATTGCTTCCTTGAGTGAAAAGAATTACATTTTAACACACATAAGAAACAATAATATACACACAAAAGTAACAAAAGTCAATCAGTTTCAGTGACAATTAATAAATCATTGGAGAAATTTTGCGTATCATTTGTTTCAGGCTAACCGCAACGCTAACGTCATTTTCTACCCTTTAGTGATACTGCGAGTTGAAGGAGAATTTTTGAGCATACACTGCAAAGTTCAAATAGCATTGGTGGAAAACCACAACTCTATATCATATCTCACTAACTTTGCACATGATGCAGTTAAGGATATACACCGAAGAGCCATTACATTATGACCACACTGCTGATAACATGTAGGACCACCTTTAGCCCTCAAATGCTAGCACCCGCCGTGGCATTGGTTCCACTAGCTGCTGATAGGTAGTCTGAGGTATCTGGTACCAAGCGCTTACCAACTGGTCCTGAAATTCCCTCACATTGCAAGGAAGTAGCGTGGCAGCACGAATTTGGTTTTCCTAGTAGGACCACAAATGCTCTATTAGATTAAGGTCAGGTGAATTTGGGGGCCAAGAAAGGGGATGACTTGAAAGTCACTGGAATGTTCCTCGACGATTCGACCCTCATGATATGGTGCATTATCCTGTTGGTAAACACCATCCCCCGCAGGGAAAACTGTTGCCATGAATGGGGGAACCTGGTTTGCAACTATGTTCAAGTAGCTTACAGACGTCAGGGATTTGTTCTATGAAGATTATGGGTCCTAATGTGCCCCATGAAAATATTGTTCCTGGGAGAGAAACCATGAAAACCTGGGCGAGCCCATTGTTATTGATGGAGGGAGGTCATAATGTAATGGCTCTTCGGTGTATGTAAACAATATGCAAGACACTCATGACTAGTTTAAAGCTAAAGAGGCAGCAACAGTTTTTCCCTGGAGTACTATGAAATCTTAGAGTGAATTTTTATCTATGTTTTTTCCCAAAATTGTTCAGTTAATTTAGACTGATAGTTCTTAGTAGAATCATTTTTAATTATACTTTTTATTGAAGAGTAAGGGAATTTAGTTTGGCAACAGATGAAAATCATCCAAGTTTTTTCACCAATAGATTAGCCATTCCATTTCCATTTGTTCACAATGGGGGGGGGGTGCTCTTTGGAGAACAAATTTCTTTTTTGGAGCAGACTCACTGCCCCAGAATTTATTCTACAGCTTTTAAGTTTCTGAAAATATAGATAAATCAGTGAAAAATTGTGCTTAATCTAAATGTTCATGACGAAAATAAAATAGCTGATGAACTGCAAAGAGTAGAATAATATAAATTATTTAGGATTACATGCAATTTAAAATGGCTAAAATTGAAAAGTTTTGCTAAAAATTGAAAAAGAGTTGCGGTTATTTATGATATTTGTAACCAGCATTATGAGAATTTCGCAGCTAATAACAATAAAGTAATTTAAACACAAAAGGACTGGAAAAACTAAAAATAATTTAATAGTTCCAGTTTTAAAAAAAGAATTGGTAGAATAACGCATTAAAAGAAATCAAGTATACACTGAGAAAAAAAACATGATTAAAATTACCGGAATATAATAAAGTTTGCGGTGCTTCTGGCTCTATGTGAACACCGAAGCTCAGTATGTTTTACTGAGGTGCATTTGTAACAATTTTGATTAAATAAACAATAAAATATGGTTTTATAATATGTGATATTTTGATAATTTAATCATGATACCTTAGAGCATGGCATTAAAGCCATATATTCTGTAAAATTGGCTTTTCAGTTTCGTATATTTTACTAAATGTATGGTAATAAAAATGTAATTTTGAAAACCAGAATTTCCGGTAGAAAGTTACCAAATGAATGTTTTAAATACCTTATATTTTTGTTTTAGTACAGAATTATCTACTTTTTTTGTTTGCTTTGTCATTAGAAATGTAATTTTTGTACATTACGGTCATTTTATTTAAATATTTTCTCCTTGCACTGTAGGTGTGCCTCTCTGTGTAACGCACATTTATACAAACAAAAATTAAAAAAACTGGTTTTAGTTTCTATTTTATCTTATGTTTTAAGTAATTATGTTTTTTTTCTTACTTATTTTAACTTAAAATGATAAATCTATAAAATTTAACACATGCACACAGGAATTTTTTGAAAGAAAGGTGCATTTCGAATTAAAAAAAAACTATCCAAGTGTTTTTAAATAAAAGCTTCTTTAAATAATTATTTAATACTAGAATTAATTTATTTTTAATGAATATTTTTTTAACGCCAACGAATTGTACGATTAGAAAACTTTATTAATTTAATCCAACGCTTATATTTTTTCCTCCATTCCAAGGTAGTGTCTTATCATTATAAATAACTTTTTTTAACATGTTTTATTAGCAAAATGGAACAGTTCAGTTCTTAAAGATGAACAATTTTTTTATTCGAATTCTCATTGAACTGAATTCATATAACCATCATTCACGATCTTAAGCTGCACATTGTTTAATCAACTATACAAATATTTAAACTGACCGCCTGAAGCCTTTTTTACCTTCCCTATTTCAACACATTTTTATCCTTTGTTTTATCACTTTCCACTTTCGTTGCATAACGCATAAGTGCTCACTTAGATAGGCAGAAAACGCATTTGACATAATACCTTGCTCGGAAATAGTTTGAACTTTTCATAAAGTAATCTATCAAAACACGTGATGAAATAGGTGCAGTGATATTATATATTTGCTGAACACAGGATAATTAATCTCTTGGTCAAAGATTGGTGAACTACAATGGAATTTAAACACTTATTACTAACCTTTGTTATTTTTACATTTGTATCATTGTTAAATAGCATAGAATATAAAAATTGCCAACCAGGTATTGCTGAGGTATTGGATGTCAAAGTCAGCAACTGTGATGGTGAGAAACGATGTCCGCTGTATCAAGGAAGTGACGTTATCATTGGAATATCATTTACACCAACATCTGACATTGAAAAAGTCGTTACTGAGCTGCATGGTGTGCTAAATGGAATACCTGCCCCCTTTAAAAATCCAAACAAAGATGGATGCCATGAGAGTGGTCTTATATGTCCACTGATTGCCAATAAATCACAGTATTATAATAGTTCAATATTCATTAAAAAGTGGTACCCTACAATAGACGTAGGTGTTAAATATCAATTAAAGGACGGAAATGGTACAGTAATATTGTGCGTAGAGATACCTTCAACGATCAAAAATGAAAAGCAAAATTGAATTTGTTTTATGAGAAAATTTCATGGTTTCATGAAACATACCATACATATATATCAACTATTTAAAATGTTATTATTTTAAGGGAATATTTCCATGTTTTCAGGTGTATGGTAGCAACAATGAATAAAATTAATGTTTCATTATGTTCTGCTATAATATCTTTCCCCATTTTTATATTTGCCTATTATCTTCACTTGACATAAAATGAAGACTGGTCCATTTTTTTTTCAATGTATGTTTTACAAATAATTTGTTTATAATAATTTTTTTCGTAAACATCTTTTTACGAAAATACTTAATAGGTAAAAATTTATGTACTCAATAGTTATATAAATGTATAGAATTTAAAACGTTCACGCAGTGCACAAATAAATGCTTTTCTTCCTGTATAGTTCTTTTTTACTTAGACATGCTTCTTTAACTTTTTTATTTAAATTTGTTTTCGTTGCAGAAGCACTTTAAAAAAATCTTCAATATTTTTATTATTAAATATAATTATATACATTTAATAATCTTATATAGTTTGTCCCAATGTTGCATCATTCCCTCACTATTCCGTATTAAGGACTGTCCCATTTTTTTTTCACAACATGTTTTACAAATAAATTTTTGTAATAAACTTTAATATCTCTTTACAGAAATGCTTAGCTAATAATTTATATACTCAATAGGTATATAAATGCATAGAATTTAAAACATTCGCGCAGTGCGCAAATAAATGTTTTCTTTGTTTGTTTGTTTTTCTGTATAGTTGTTTTTAACTTAGTCATACTTCTTTATCTTTCTTATTTGGATTTTTTTTTCGCTACAGAAGCACTTTTAAAAAAATCTTCAATATTTTAAAAGATCATATTTAGTTTTCCCAATATTGCATCATTCCCTCCCTGTACCGTATTAAAGATTCTAAATAACTGCCACATAAAATATTTAAAAAAATCTTCAATATTTTGGTGGATCTTATTTAGTTTTCCCGATGTTGGTATCATTCCTTCACTATTAAATGTTAAAGTTTCTAAATAACTGCCACATAAAATATTTCCGCAAGAAATTCAGTGATTCATTACCAGCAACATGGAACGACATTACAGGATTTTATTATCTTTAAATAACTACTTTTGCCTGTGAAATAAATTTGAATACATCCAAATAAATTAAATTGATCAATTCCTTTTGTGTGTGCGTGTGCGTGTGTTTATTAAAAATAGAATTAAATAGAGATGCCAACTTGTTCCGGATAGTAGATAAATATTTTCGAGTGGGATAAGTATTTTAGTTCGGATAAATATTTTTCATATTCAAAATACTTTCATTGAAACGTCTTATAATGAATGATACTTAGCTTAGAAAATTCGATTTCTAAGATTTTTTATTCACCACTACTTCTAAATAATTCAAAGACTTACGTGATTAGCCACTTTGTTACAGTAAAGCCTACAAAGATCTATTCAGCTTTGAATTAATTGAAAGCAATTCAAAATACAGACTGCGTTTTTCCTGTCGGACGATGTGATGTAGTCTCTAAAAAATTTATGTAAATAATCTATATAGTCTTTTTTCTCTCTTATCATAATTATATATTATCCTTGTATGTATTTTTTCCCAAATTTTATTTAATTTTATTTAACCAGGGCAGTTCCTAGGGATCAACCTGTGAAAGCTGCAGAAAGCCGTGGGAGTAGCAAGTCCCCAGGACATAGGAAGATTCCCATCCCCCCTCAATTTCTATTTTCTTTGGCAAGTATGGAACACTAACCTTGTTCAGATGAGTGTGTAAAAGCCCATAACCGAGCTGAGACACAGATATTGATTTTAAATACGAATGCAGCAAAGCCGTGCTGAGTCTTTTAAAAGTTCGTAAAACTAACCAAATATTTGCGAATTTTAGCTTGAAATTTTCTACCATTTTTTAAAAATATTTTGTCGAATCCGGAACAGTTGGCATCACTGATAAAGAATAATGATTCTTAAAAAGTAAATATTTATAGCTTGCTTTTTTGTATGAATGAGTGCATGTTTGAGTATGATTGATTTAAGAAATCAACTAAGCTTAAATGGTATTTTTAAGCTTTAATAAAGTATGTAATAAAGTACACAGAATGAAAAACAATACTAAAATGACGGAAATATTTCATAGTGTTAATTGTTCAAAGCAAGAGTTTAGATTGCTTAAAGTATACATTTTTTGTTTTTGGATTATTTTTCTTAAAGACATAATTAGAAACTAAAAACGTTCCATATTCAATACTAAAAATGTTTGAGAAAATCAAGGCAGAAAATTCCATTCTCCATTAAAATTACTGCATTCAATAAAAACAGATTACAAATATACTCATAATGACATTACTTTGAAATGTGAGATTGTTGCAATTTTTAAAAATAAATCGCTTTTTAAATTAATTATTTTGTTAAAGCATTGAGAATAATTTATAGTACATATGTTTTTCTCATAATGACATTACATACATTCATAAATAGAATAATTTTCAAAATTTTTTATTCACTTTATATATTCTGAATTTTGCGAATTGAAAACGACTGTTTCCCTGAGAATGACTCATATATAATAATGGATATTGTTTCTGCTCCGAATAATCTTCTAAGCCATTTATCCAATTGCTGCGAAATTTGGCACACTACCTAGCTTTAAACGCAAAGCAGGTCGTTGTTGATATTATAACATACTACTCATGGCTATTCGAACAGGATTTGTAAAAAGTGAATTTTCACCAGGAATCACCGTTAAGAATATTTTCTTTTATTTAAAATATAGCATTCATGCCTTTTGATAAATTTCAGCTCTATTCGATACAAAATGAAATTTGCTGTGTTTTTAATAGGGTATCTGCAGCTTAAGAAGAAGAAGACTGCTGAAATCAGCTGTAAACAAGACGGCGTGACAATTTTACAGTTATTACTTATTTAACAGTACTTGGTATGCATCTTCTAAAACAAAAGTTCGCCGTTAAAATATATATGTATGCTTTGAGTTGTGTAATAATGATAATTAAATTATAGTTTTTAAATATCTATAGATTGTATTAAATAATTCTATAATATTCAGTTTCTTGTATTTTCTGATCAGTTAAGTCTGATTTGCCGTCGTCTTGAGGGGAATTATAAATCGACTATATCAACCATCATTTACTAAAAAATACCTCAAGATAGAATCAAGTTAACATGTCTTATACACTAGTGAATTGGTCCTTAATATTTGTAGTGGTAGTTACACCACGTTACTCCCCTTCCAGAATTTTTCTGTGATAGAATTCGATGAGCAACTACCACTAGTTGATTCATGCGGTTAATATATTTAGATAAATTTTGCTCATTATATTTATTTTTTTCCTCTTCAATTTTTGCTTATAGTATTTCTCGCATTATTATTATTTTTTTCCTCATTTTTTTATACCATTTCGCTCATTTTTTTCTTCACTTTTGTTATATAGCATTTCGCTCATTATTATTTTTTCAATATTGTTTTATTAACCGAGAGACTCTATTTACTTCATCGGATTTTTTTTTCTTTGTGCATTGTATTTTTAAGCAAATCAACTGTTTAATGTTGATCATCCATCAATATTGGTAAGTTCTAATCGCGTTTGGAGGTCACCAATGAAGGGATTTAACTTAGATTATGTCAACCTTCATCTATCAAAAGGTACCTCAAGATAGATTCAAATTAACATGTCTTATATACTAGGGAATTGGTATTCAATATTTATAGTGGTAGTTACGCCACAGTCTTAATACTGTGTTATGTTTATGTCTGAATCATAAGCTAATTTCATTTTAAGAATTAGTGATTATCGGCAAATTAAAGTAACTGTTCTTATTTAAAATTGCATACGCAAATTAATTTTACTGACTCTTATATATATCATATGTTATTGTTATAGTAAATTTTAGCATTAATAAACACTGAAAATGGCAGGGCTAAAGAGAAAAGAAGGGCTAGTTCACTCCGCTCTTAGAGCTGAAGCTACGATTTCCCTCCTCATGACGTCACTGTATCCACAGATCTCGGAGATCGCAAGCAAAGATATTGTGATAACTTTGCCTCTTTCTCTTTGTAAAAATAAGTTAGACTTTTTCTGGTTAGTAGCTTTCAAACTTTACGTAATTAACACATTATTTCCGTTCATAAACATAGTTCAAAAAAACTTTCTTGGTTATTATATTAAAAAAATACCATTTTAAACTTATAAAAATGTTTTGCTAGTTGGTGAAAATGACACGATAAATACTTTATTTTAAAAAGTTCAGTTTTAACTTTAACTATTAAGAAAAATGAAGGCATATATCGACACTTTTTTTATCTACATATTCTTTTATAAAGATAAGTTAAGTTAAATTTAGAATCCCTGATTTTAAAATATGTCGTTAATAGCAATTTGTTCATACTTAATCATTAGGAAACATCAACCTTAAACGCTAATTACTGAAACAAAATAATAATTTAGGTTCATAATGACATTAGAAATTTTACAATTGTTTATAGACATTTAAATTTACGATGATATAATTTATAGATATTTAAATTGAAGAGAATATAATTTTTAAAAAAAATCATAAATATTTAGAATAACTACATTAAAAAATATGTTATGAAATTAGGAGAATTTCAACTATATACTATATATTTTATTTATACTTTTTACTTACATTTTAATTTTCTTTGACTTTATCTATTTTTTAATTCTTTTCACCTGCCTTTCTTTATGAAGTAACGAGGCGGTTTCTATTTAGATAATGAATTTTTATAAAAGTTCTTTACGACAGAATAAACGTATTGCTGTTTTATATTAACTGTGTCATTTCGGAATCCATTCTTTACATAGTTGTTCATTTACTTTAGGGAACACGCGGAAAATTATATTTTTTCCTTTTGTTTTTCTATCAAAATTTTTTCAAGTTGCAATCGCGCAAACTGGCATTTCGATTATAGTTTTTAATTCTTGTAAATTCACTGCAAAAGCTGAGGAAAGTCATTATAGAAAATAACAAATGTCTTAGAATATCTCGCAAAAAGAAATGCTCCCATATTAGTTAGAGCTAGCAAGGCCGAACTCTCCGTTCTTGAAGTAAAAGTGCGAGCTTTGCGCCAAAGTGACGTCACTAGAGAAAATCAAAGGATTGGCGCGGCGAGAGCTACTTCAAAGGAGTGAACCAGCCCTTCTATTCTCTTTAGCCCTGGAAAATGGTGACAACTACATTACTCAAAAAAGTCGAGCAAAAAGAAAAATCTGGCGTTTCACTTCACCAAGAACT